AAAATATAATCTACATATCTTCAATTTGCATGAATTATGATCAAAATGTAATTATTCTTGCTCTAACAATAGATTATGTATGGTGTTAAGTAGGTTTCATTTTTGAATTGCGACCTTTTTTTAGCTACATGTATGCACAATAGGCGCGAGAAACGCTCTCCACAAATTGTTAAACGGGCGTAAGCAAAATTTCGTTAGTTTAATTGTTTAGAGTTGCATCAATCAGCTGTAAATTGAAAATAAAATAAATTGCAATAACCCGTCCCAGCGAATTTTCGCTTCCTAATCTGCTGAATAGCAATAGAAGAACAAGAAAATTGCTTATTTGCAGCTGAATCAAAACAAAAAATTTAAAATTTTTGGAAGGTAAGTAAATTAATTTTTTTTTTTACTTTTCACTTCGATTGAAAATACTCTTAATTCGCTAAAGCTTGTAATCAACTGCGTCTGTATCATCAATTCTTCCATAATTTATCACTTACAGTCTACTATCATTGATAAAGTATAGCGAAGCAACAAATGAAAACTCAACACTCTGGACCTGTTGGTCTTATTGCCAACAGGTCTGATCTATTTTCCTAAACAAAACAAAAAAAAGTTAAGTAAAATATTGTTATTAAATGATCATATAATGTTGAGAAATCAGGCGGAATGGTTTCTTTCTTTATGTTATGCGGTTTGACAGTATAAGAACATTGAGATTGGCGAAAAATAGATTTTAAAACATTCATTAAATAGGAATATTGGTTGACCATCGTCCTAATATCAGCTCTGCAAGAGGGTTTTCTATACAGTGTAGAACCTAGAAAGTTAAAAGTATCAACTGATGGTATATTGGATTCGTAGATGTGGAGTAACAGTAGGACAAGTGGGTTTTTCGAAAAAGCCTAAGCATGCGAATAGACAGCGCAAGTTGAGTTGCGAGAAATAACGCATATGACCGATTGTACAGTTTGCCTAGCCGAATTTGTGTGAACTAAAGATGACGAGGTCTTCAGCGTATCCTAGTATGGAAACATTCTCAGGTAAAGAATTCAATAACGTCTATACACAGTACTTAAAGAAATAGCTCGCAAATCAAATTACAGAACCTTGTTGACAACCCCAACGAGAAAAGACTGGATCTTAAAGTACTGATGTTAACTGAGCCGAAAGCTGCAGAAATATTCAAAAAGCGAACGCCAAGAGTTTGACTATTAACAAAAGCTAGATTAATAGAGAACCAGCGGAGCGATTATGTTATCATGAGCACATTTACAACGTCTGAATCTAGGTTGAAAATTGCTGAAAATATTTGGAGATTCTAGATGCCTTTCTAAACGAGAACAAAGTATTCTCTCAAAAAGCTTTCAAAGGAAATGTTTCTATATGAGTCAAGGATCTTCGGTAAGCAGATCTTTTTCTTTTCTTTAAAATAATGATATGAAAATTAAAACAATTTGATGGCGCGCAGCATGTGTTGAGAACCGCATTATATGCCTCTTCCCTATAATTTGGAGGTTTTTGAGAAACTGAGCGATGATAGGCTTTTTGTGGGGTAGCAATAACTTTTTTTTGTTAGGAGTAGAGCATAATTAGTAACTATTTTGAATGATTGAGACGGTTTGTGCACGGATGGGAAATCAGATTCTTTGATTTGTTGTTAATCGGATAAACGTATGAAGTCTGCGAAAAAGAAGGCGGTGTTAATTACGAACCGTCAGTGTACTAGTTTTCTTTTAAAATTTTTTTGTAGCTTGGTACACGATCACGCCTAGTTTGGCAAAATCATGAATCATTAGATATTTTAAAGAAACAAATGACGGTCATGTTCTTTGGTTCTTTGGTCTTTCTTCATGTTTTACGCGAGAATATTCGTTACAATTAAATTTTAATTGAAAAAATCATTTCACTTTAAATCATTGTTATTATTTCGAATGAAGATCGCATTAATCGATATTAAGTAAGTAAAGTATATTGGCAATCCTTTCAATAAATTATTTAATTGTGATGTGAATTGTTATCTCTTTTTTTCATACAATTTGAAATAAGAAAATATGAACTTGTAACTGTTATTATGACTTGGAAGAATTCAGTTTCTCAGGAATTATTATTTATTTGAGAATTAATAAAAAGTTTTAACGAATACTTGAATAAAATTTAAGTCGTATTTTAATAAAATATCGGCCATCGTGTGATATTACGCAGGTGTTGCAAGTGAATAAAAATAAATTGTTTTATTTTAAAATTTTATAAAGTAGAAAAAGTAGAAAACGTATTTAAAACTTGTTTGCATGTACGGAAATAAATTAGAGAGAGAGAAAAAGCAAAATCACAAAATAATTATTTGTTTTCCTTTGCATAAGAGAACATCAAGTGTCAAGAGCAAGGTCAATAAAGAGTCAGAAACACAGAGAGAAAGAGGGTTAGTTAGCATTGAGTTGGCATTTCTACAGTGCAGAATGAAAATAGTGCTTAAGCGGCAAAATAAATTAATATAACTTCGAATTCTAAATTGAGATCTTGGATATAAGATTTTTCCTTCTTGTTTGAGTCCTACATGTTTTCAAACTTGTGGTGATAGGGAAATGTGCTTTCTCTTTCTTTGGCTCAAACGCGGCTCTCAATCAATGATATATTTACTAATAAAGGCGTCACATGTTTCCAAAAACCTCAATCCCCCCCCCAAAAAAAGAAAAAATTCAATGTTTATGCATATGCACTTGTGTATGTATATGTAAGCGTAACTCTACACAATTTGTGGTATACGGGGGGTATTAAGTATGTGTGTGGATGTAAGGGCTTGGGAGAGTCAGGCCTTTTGTTTATACCGATCGTGTCACAATCACTGACTAAGTCAAATTTAGTTTGTCTGTTTTCTCTTCTTCTGTTCAATCTGCACGCGGCAAACTTTTCAGATATTTTGATGACATTTCGTACATCTTTGTGTTTTGGACAAACGACGAACGGTACTGAAAATAATTTGGAACTGATCACTACTTCGAACACATCCCATATAACGGTTTATTTAAAAAAATGCTTATAAGAGCAACTCTAGGGACATGTAGACGGCTTAAGGGTGGGTTGTGGCCCATTTTATAATGTGTTCAAGGTTGAATAACGTAATTAAAGTATAAGATTATAACTCCAGAATGAAAATAGTACTTACGTGTAACAAATTACATCCGAATATCTTTTTTGCTCTATATTGTAAATATAGAGTTGAGTAATTTTTTTAACACTCTTCTTCGTGTGTGCTTGTGTGTATTCTGTGTTTATACTTCGCCTTATTTTTTAAAAATATACATTAGTGGCCAGTTTTTTCAATCATTACTTTAGGAGACTTTGGGAGAGTGAATAGAAGGCTATTATAAAAAATTTTCATAAATATATATGAGTATATACATATACATATATTTTTATATAGCTAAATAAGTAAAGCATTTAGCAAAGTAATAAATGGCTTCATCTGCACCGAACAAGCTGCGTATATCCACTAAGATTTACAATGGAATAATTGCTGTTGCTGATAAACATCTGATACCTGAAAAACTCCGTCCTCTATGGAATCATTCGGCGGGTAAAAGCTCTATTTTTAATTGTATGCAATGCGTAAATATGTTATCTTTCTTTTTCTCTTGCGAAACGTTCCTAGGACCTAAGACTGTGTTTTTTTGGGCGCCATGCGTTAAATGGGTGAGTGTGTGTTGTGGCCCTATATAGTTCTGTTTACATAATAAATCAAGTCTTTTTTTTTTATACATTTTGCAATGAATATGTCATAATTGACTGAATATACACTGTTACGATGCAATTGCTTTCACATTTTTGAGTGCGTGTGCATGTGTAAACGTTGTTTTATAAAATTTCCGCATACTAATATCATAATATAGACCTGTTGAATTGCCGTTGTGTCAAATAAAGTGTCAATATTTAAAAAGTCATAGTCCGTATATAAGCAAAAATGTCATTGTAAATGTTATATATTATATAACAAATTAATAGGCACATCTAGGAATCCGGACAAAATTTTTAATTGAGAAAAAGAATATAGAGGCAAAATGCAAATTCCTAGAACTGGAGAAGCATGCGAAAAGATGTCTGTCAAGAAAAGAATATAAGAAAAAAATGGAAAGGCATATAGAAGAAAATCTAAAGGATATCTGCCAGGAGAAAAATATGAGGGAAAAATTTTCAGGCTATTACACCGAGACTTCTTAAATCGCTTCCATATGGCAATTAGTTTCTTCTCTCAACGACAAAGGTTCAATGGTTAGTTATTTATTTCGATAACTTATGGCTATTGCTTCTTTCTGAAGTCAGCCTAATTGAGACGTTGCGATTGATTGAGTCAAGATGTACACATCATCATTGGGGCATGCAATAATATGAACGAACAATGTCTCGATAACATATCATATGGATTAAAACTTCTAATACAAGAACGTTGACTTCCGCAAACTTTAGTATTTTCCGTTTCCGTAGTTTCACGTCCACTAGACTCAGTCAACTTGCTTGCTTGTGTATCAATGGAGATATCCTCACTTTTCGAATCTATTTAAATCAACACAGTGCCTTTTTCTAAAACTTATTTTCGACCACGATCTCCGTGATCATGGATATTCATGACAATCTGCTGCAATGTCCAAAAAGCATTGAGTGTGTGAAAAAGTTATTATGAAATTTTCAGCGTAACTCTTTTGAATATCCATTACTTTATTAAGTAACGATTGCCAAAATTTTCTCGTTAACTATGAATCTGTTTCTTGATCAATAGAAACAATTTTTGCATTGCTGGACCAAGTTTCCAACTAAAGCTTGGCTACCATATCTTTAAAAAAAAAAAAGTATGAATTAGATCGTACTACTAATTCGTACGAAAGTGAGATTTCCAATAAAAAAAATAAATGTATGGACGTATGGACGGATAAATGAAGAAGTCTCTACCTCCTAGAATGCATGTCTTGATAAAAGGAATATCTAAGTTCCAGTCGAATGCTAACAAGTTAGCAAATGTACCGTTATCCCAAGAAAAGATTTTAAAAAAGGCAAAGTACTAAACTTTCATTCTTTATAATATTGAGTGGCCGTAGGTGATTTTTTATAAATCAGAATGAAACTGGGGAAATTCATATATAGCATTTTAGGAGTAACAAGCATAGGAGTATGGGCTTCTTAACCATGCCTTGTGAAAATTTGGGTCGTTATCAAATTTCTTGGCAAATTTGTAGGCGATATCTTCCCTTTTGCGGACGGGAGACTTTTTAACACAGATGCTACACCGACAGTTTTAGCTGGATTCCGAGTATGAAACTGGCCAAGAATTTATTTACTTTATTGCGTTTTTGAACGTTGCCTCTGTGAGTTTTCAAGGTATTGAAAATAACATTGAACTTTAATACACTATAATATTGGATAGGTGTCGTCAATTTTTTCCCATTTTTACAAAGGTACTACAGCCTCGCCCATGGAGTATATGCTTAAATTTTTGCAGGTGTAGTTTAGGAGTAATGAGCAAGAAAAACAAATTTCGGTTCGTTTTAAAACACACAGTGTACAAGGTCCTCTAGGCGTGCCCTTTGACGGATTTGATCCATTTTCAATGCCAACCCGCGTGCGCTGTTTTCCAATCCGAAGAGTCGATAGCTTCATTTTTACGGCCAGGGGAATGTGTGCAAAAGACATTGTACAGACGGGCAAACGGACAGACAGATATGTGTTGGGGTCTCTGAAAATTCCTACATCACTGCAGTGATATACAGTATACAAAAAAAAAAAAATTTAAAAAACATTTTTTCTAAAATTTACCATTTATAGCAATCGTGTTTTTTTTTTTGTATTATTTGATGAGGATCTAAAGAACGAAAATGCACTTTTTATTTAAGATATTTGATTATTGCTCTTGAGAAGCTTTTCTTTATTTATGATAACTTCTTAATAATCTTTGTTTTTTTCCCCAAATCCGTTTCCGTTTAAGGGCTTAGTGATAGCTGGACTTGGTGATTTAGCTAGGCCCGCTGACACACTGTCGATACCACAATGTGGCGCTTTGGCCGCAACCGGAATAATTTGGGCGCGTTACTCTCTAGTTATAATACCAAAAAACTGGGGTCTATTTTCAGTTAACGTTTTCGTGGGAGGTGTTCAATGTGTGCAATTATTCCGGGCCTTTATGCATCAGCAGGAGCAGAAAAAATTAACAACGGATCCTTCGTAATATCAATGCCAAACAATCGGACGTAAGCGCACGCGTAAATATGCCGAACGGCTTCTATTTTAAGTTATTTCAAATTTTAGCCCCAAATTAAATTCCATTGATTAGTTTATTCAATTTGCTCAGATGTTTTTATACGATGTTTTTATCTTAACGTGATATTCCATCTTTTGTAGATATATATATATATATATATATGCATATATTTTTATTTTGATTTCGTAAATAAACTTGTGACTGTATATACACATAAACTGTTGTAGACATGTAACAAATATATATATATTTTTTTTATATTTTTCCTTTTTGTACCCTACACCATCTGTGTTCTTAATACATATCAAGTCCCAACAAGGACTTGGCAGAGACCCATCGATCTCCACTTGTTTTCTTGTGTTCAATCTATTGACCTCAGTTTTTGAGATAATTTGATGAAGGTTGATGCAACGAAACCTCTTGGCCCAAGGACGAAAGCTATTGAAAATGGTTCGGATGTGAATATTTTTTTTTTTGGCCTTTTCGCATATAACCTCATATATATTTTGAAAACTCGTTACACGAATAACTGTAAGGCGGTGTTGGGTATGTAATAATGGGCCGATTTTTTTCGCAAAAAACTATTTAAATCTTGCTTTGACCTTCTTCTCGTCTTGAGCTTTGTCCTTCTTCTCACCGCAACTTTAATTGGAAAGGTCTGGTTGGCAATTAGCATAGGATACCCGATAAACTTCGACTTCGTCCGCGTCTGCGTAAGTTTTCAAGGCGATCAAGCCCAGTTTACTTAACTATTCTTCTATGACCTCAACACTTTGCGGTCCTATTGAAGATTTTGTTAACACCCATGTCAATTGATAAGGTTGTATTCGTAATCGAACTGAAAGTCTTAGATTGCAAATGCTGCGATTGCGGGTTTTCTTAATTCGGTTCGATATGTTGCTTTATTTTGCGCTGCTTAGACGATGGATAATCATTGATAGAGGAAGCGTTACCACAATTAGGCCCATCGATCAATCGAACGAGAATTGATAAGGCGTCGCATCGATGCTACACATATTGAATGGAAGGTGACCGAACTTTTCGATTTGAGGAATTCCAAGTTAAGTTCATTACGCTTATTCAAAAGAATTATGGCCCGTGAACATTTACAAATTTGAAAGAACTTAAAAACGCGTATTCAACTTGCTTATCAGATAATTCATGTCCCAAGAACTTTCCCTCATCACAGTCAAATTGCAATTAATCACGGGCTTTCGATAACTTTGCCGTTTTATCGGGACCGTGTCGGGATCTTCATTTCACCATTTATTGCTTTTAATTAGTAAGAAATTTGATTTCGATATGTAAAATTGTGTAAATTATTTGTTTACAATTCAAACGGACGAAGGTTTTTAAAAATTAAAAAATTTAACAAACAAAGTTATACGCGAATTATGTTATGTTTATTGTGTCAACCATTTTCTTATAATGATTTTTATATAAATGAAAACATTCATATTAAATTAAAAAATACAAAAGCAGACAACCTGCGTAATTAGAAGACTGGATTAAAATGAATAAATCTTAAAACTATTACGAGAGATTTCAATTAAAGTAATAATAAATTAAATTTCGAATAGGCTTTTAATCTATCAACTGATTCACAGATCGTCATCTTAATCAAAGTACGTTGGAAAATAATTCATATTTTGTAGAGTTGTTATTTTACCAAAAACCTCCAGAGGTATGACCACCTGGTGGTATACGTCCTTTTGGTCCAGCGTTGTTATTAATAGCGTTTTCAGCCATTTGTTGAGAGTTATGTTCTTTGGTATCAAATCTCTTGGTTTGTTCTGCGTCAGCAGCTTGTTTGGTTTGAGCGATTTCTTCGCGCAATTTCTCCACAGCTTCATTTGCGTCCGTGGACCCCAAGCAAGCGTTCAAATTGGTGGAGTTTTGTTGATTGTATTTGGGTCGAGGGGCGTTAACACTTACTTCAGCCTCGGCAAAGATGTTGGAATGGCCGCCACCGGGAGGTTTCAGCACACGGCTAGAAGGGCGACCAGTAACGAGGCCAACTTTCAGTTCTGTTGAAGTCATTTTAATTGAAATTTTTTACCTTAAATGAAAAAAATCAAACAAAATTAACAATGGCTTTGAAAGTCTTTAAAATAATAAGAAAAAAATTTAAAAAAACCCATACGCACACACACACACACACACACATTATGCGCCGCCACTTACCACTACGAATAAAATAATCCTGAAGTCAAATTTCTTTCACTTTTTTTTTTATTTCGACTAATTTTCCAGCCGAATCACAAATGGCCAAAGAAACGAAACATTGATGACAGCGAAAAAGAGTCATCAATAGCAATAGGAACTTAAAAAACTTTCTCCTTTTACTAATTCTTTGCTTTTATATTACATATATTTAAGACTTTCTTCTCTATCGTTCTATTAAAGTTTACAACGGAGAAAGCAATCTATGCATGCAAATTTTTTTTAAATTTTATTTTCTCTCATCACAATTTTTCCCGTACACTGTAAATAATTTTCACAATTGACTCAATGAAAACTAAGGGTTAACTGTAGTTAACTATCACTGCGCGTAAACGACGATGAACGGCGAAAACTTTGCAACGAAATATAAAAAACCAAGTTTAGCTAACTTATTAGTAATAATTAAATAATTGAGACATTAAGGAAACTTAAATAATAATACAAATTCTACTTCTATTCTTCTTGAACGTTCAGCAAGTCAACAATTCGTCGCGTTATAAAAAAAAGTTCTTTGTCTTTGAATAAAGACAAAAAAATATGTATTTGTTAATTTGATATATTAGCAATGAATAGATAATATTGTTTAATTGGCAAACATTTGCTATATGTAGTTAAGACAACAGATAAAAGTGTTTAATTAGTTAAAAAACAACCTATGTTTTTAGCAGTGTAAGCAATGTAAACAGTATAATTGCCTGCATTGTTGAAGGATAACGAATGAAGAAAATCACACATATAATTGGTGTTGATGTTGTTCCCGCAATATAATTATTTAAAATTACAACAAATGTTGCTCTCACCTCTTACGACCATACGCTTAATACACATCCCCGTCCCTAGACCGTGTAAACGTTTCTATCTGCTGTCATTTTTACGACTTTGCGAACTACAATATTTCTCCTAATGTCCCTCAATTTTTGTCTAGACTTTAATATACCCTTGCACGATTGTGATGCTGCGTTCACTGAAATATACATTTTCTAAACATGCGCTAATAAATTCGAATTATTATTATATATAAAACATTATACGTTATCTACGTTTTTCTCCTACAACTACATAACTTTTCAATCAAGTAACATATATGTGTCCAAAAATGTAATAACTATTATAACCTCTTGAAAATGAAATGGTTCTCGAACTCTGAAATAGCTATAGCCAACAACTTGCAACATAACCTAAATTAACTGAATTGTTAATAAATACTGCATTTTTAATTTTTTAATCGCAAAAAAAAAAACACTACAAATTTTTGTGTAGATGAGAAAGCGTTGTAAACTTTTATTGAGTTTTTATTGAAAAAACAAAAAAATAAAACACCTCAACACATATTATTGATTTTTAACACGAATAATCATTTTTACTTACGGACTTTAATAAATGCAATTACTGTATTTTTATATATTTTTTATGTATTTGTTTTGTGTATTTCGCGTTTTCTCTTCTCTTGTCATCCGCAACACCTTAATTGTGTACGCCGAATACCGCCAAACAAATAAGCGAACAAAAAAAAATTTTTCGATATTTTGAAAAGCCTCAACTGCTTTTATATTATTTTGTATTCACCTATATATATATATATGTATGCATATATAAAGCAACAAAAGCAACAATAGTTTCAATGTATGGTCTGGGATGTTTATGGTCGTGGATATTTGGTTTTCCTTTGTTTTTGACATTTTGTTTTCTTTTACGTCATTTACCAAAGAACTATACAGTTAACCTTAGTTCAACGGGCGATCTGACTTAGAGGTATTAATTAAGCAAATTATAACAAAAGAAATTTTAAAGTGTGTTATATAGGAACAAAGGGAAAGGAAACGTACAATGTTACTACTCCTTTTTGAGAATTAAAGAAAATAGATCTACTAGACGAAACTAGACTGCTCCATTCCAACATAGCAGTTCTGTCCGCTTTGTATCACTTACATATTGTATATTGACAACACTGGCGTTCACACTGAACAGCAAAAATGTACATTTAATGAATTTACAGGATCATAAGGTATCGTTTTACGATATATTCGATACTGGAAATGATTGAATTAAAAACCGTTTCGTACTTTCTCTTGAATACTATGCAATCTTCCTAAACAGTCTAGGGCGTCCATCACAATGAGCGAATAAGCGATAACACGAATTACCAAATAATGATTAAATTGCTAAAAGCAAGCAAACACATGAATCCGCGAGAGCATTTAAATAGCTTAAATAATTCCAATCTGAATGGACATAATTCTTTTATTAAACTTTTCACGGCAACACGAATGCGCGTTATTGGCAACATTGGCAATAAAATTTGCAAGATGCAGACAAATCTCTTAGCTTCTATTGTTAAAATATCAAAAGAAAATATGTGAGATAATAAAATTATAAAACTTACCATAAATAATTCAGATATATTAAGTAATATACATAAATACATAATTGAAAGAGCCACTTTTTTGTATTTGTGTGCTTAAAATTTGTATACCCGTTTCTTTCTCATAATTGCCTGCCTTTATTATGGAAGTAATTTTTCATTACACAAAAAGAAATATGCTCAAATATTCGGAAGTGCAGTGAATATTTAAACGTGTGGTCATAAAATATTAATTTGTGTTATTTATATAGAAACTAATCATTTTTGTGAAAATATTACAATAGTTTTTAAATTGGAATATTAAATTAAGAATATATTCTTGTTGGTTCCTATATATCTCTCCTCCGTTGCTCTAATATTGACGGTTTTTTGTTATGCTTTAGCATCATTACTTCGTATTGACTGAATAGACTAAAAATTGAGTAATTAAGGTTTGTTAATTGTGAAGTATAAAAAAATTTCATTAATAAAATATGCACTTAAAAAGATATTCTTTATTTAACTAGGATTTTGTGAATCATTCATAGTTTTTCCTGTTGCAAATTGGGTACAACTTGATGTGTTTCTGATTATGAGATCTTCCTCCTTCAGCTGTCTGGTTTGGTATTTGTCTTCTTATTTACCCTCATCTTGTGATGTTTATTAACTGAGGTTCGTTTTTAAGTAGAGCTGCCAGAGTTTATTTGTTAAGTGCGAATTTTGAAAAGTATGTTATCCTTTATTTACACTTCATTTACAATTATTTTTCCTAAACTAATGCAATATGCGGATAGGAAAATTTGGCATAAAATAAAATAAATCTTTTTTCAACGTATTTATTCAGCAGATTACAATAATTTTACATTTTTGTAGCATTCCGTTACATATTTACATTTTCAAACAAGAGAATGTGGTCATTAAATTTTTCATATCACTGGTAGATATACTCACATAGTTATGGACAATGAACCTGAAAACATAGATCAACAATCGAGAGCACTCCAAAGAAATATTTTAGATTCTGATGATGTGGTGGCATCATCTTCGACGGGATCCTCATCACTGATGTCTCAAACAGCAGGACAACAGCATCAATGCGATCAACTTCGGCATGCACATCAACATCATCACCATCATCAACATGTTTATCCTCAATATAATGCTTTGATTATTGATTCACCAAATACTTGGTCTGGAGGAACTAATGAAGACTTAACGCAACTGAACGAGTTTCTTGAGGAGCCACAATTAAGTCGTGTCTGTTTACGGCCCTATCAACAACATCCATCACAACAGCCGCACACTCAACCACCTCCTTCGCCTTCACTCCACCATTTACATCAACACCACTATGAGCAGCATATGGTAAGCCGAAATTTTGTAACACTAAACCTTTGTCATGAAAAGAAGAACCAATTTATTCATGTGTACATAGTTTCCGTAGAAAGTCCTCTGGTTTCTGTTAAAAGTTTAGTTTCCGTTAAAACGCATTTACATTAAATCAGGTCGAAAAACGATTTGCTTTCAAGACAATTTTATAAGCAAATATTTGATAAGATTTGTTTTTTTTATGCATTGTAATAAAAAAACATAATCATATCATAAAGTTAATTAATTGATAATTAAATTACTATTTCTTATACTATATGTGGAGCATCATCAGTTTAGTGGTACACCTCAGCGTACTTGTGCTGCGTATTTAGCGCCAATCGTGCCGCATTCTACTTATAATTCAAACCAATATCAAGCCTATCACGTTTATGAAGACGAATATGCTTCACCGGTGGTAGCTACAGCGGCGGCGCCATCTCTACCACCACCTCCTCCACCGCTGCCGTTAGCAGCATCAACACCCGCAACTCCCCACTTAGCTAATGTTACAGACAATAATGATTCGGGCTTAGAAATTCCTGATGCTTCTTCTACTTTTGAAACGGAATCATTGCATTCTTTGGATACTGCCACATCCCATACTGCCAACGTTCGTCGTACCCCGTGTACTAATGTAATAGTCAGTGGCCACAGGGGAGAACTGCTAAGGCTACCACGCCGTGATATGGATTGCCTAAGGGGAGCAAGTCGACAACGAGCGCCCAACAACAGGGACCTCAGCGAGCAATCATCGTCGTTGTCGTTTGTTTCGTTTAATGATCGTTTGGACGAAGTGGCATCAACGTCTTCAGTACAAACCACGCAATCTGAAAGTGACGTAGATTCATGCGTTGTGGAAGCGTCTAGTCCATTACCAGCTGCGTTACCGCACGATGATGTCTCTTCCGAAACTGAACATGTGCAATTCGCCCATACTCGTACCACCAACACGACAACTACCACTTCAGCAGCAACCTTAAAGAAACAAAAATCCACCACTACTAACGTTGTAGGATCTTCTCCAACGTCGTCCTCTTCAGCTTCCGCTTCGTCTAGCAGATCAGGTGGTGGTAACGGGAATAGTACCGAACATGTAATTGATTTGGTGGAATCTAGCTCAAATGGCTCCCAAGCACGTTGTTTGAGTGCTGACAATAACAGTAATTCACTCAATCATTGCGATGCGGAAGCAGAAACCGTTGCATGGAATCTACATAAGCCAACAGCTCAACATAATGATGATGTCCCGTCGTGTTCTCAAAAAGCGGATCGCCGAACTGAAATGGAATCGAAACGTCGTTTTCTAGGCGCGGACGAAAATCGACTGTCAAAAGTTCAAAAAATTAACGATAGTAGCTATAATCAGCAACAACGAGTACGTACTCAAGGTTCTTCTACTGAGGCTGGAGCTTCTACTTCGAATGGCTCGTATGTAATTACTTATGCGGGTCAACATCCGCCTCCAACACGTCGACGGAGAATAGAAGCGTTATATTTGACGGAAAATAGTCAGTCTAATACAGAAGAAGCACGTAATTACACAATGAATGTAGAAACAAGAGGAATGCAAAGTCCTGCCAGCATGGATGCGCAACCATCTACTTCGAAAGGATATGGCAAAGTTAGAGTGCATGAAGGTAATAAGCAGCCTGTTGTTTTAACCGCACCAGATTTACAGTTAGACTGCCTTTCGGATACTACAACTACCACGGATGGTGAAGATGACGACGTAGTGTTTGTGCATTCGAATCGAGAACCCATTCTCTCGATAGACTTAACGGCTGATGATGAAACGTCGTCTTCCACTTCTATAGCCGAAATGCTGGAAGCACCAGCTGCACGCAGTCATCCTACATTTACGGAAAATGAAATTAATTCTCATGAATGTACCGGTAATGGAGGGGAATTCGAGGGAGTTTATGGGATGGGCTTTGTAAGTGATCCTGAGTTATTCTCATCTACATCGGGTAACAGAGAAACAAGTCGTGAATGTTGCTCCCAACAGATGATGCACACCAATTTTATTCAGTCACATCCTCATTGGCCAAATATGCGTTATGGCCGATCAGCGGCGGAATCCTCTCCATACGTGCCAAGACGTTTTTTTCCGTCACTGCAAATTATGTCTCGTTGGCCTACAACTAGTGCCGAATTAAATAGGTCGTCAGCTTCGGTCTGTAATGCCGCAGTTGTATCTTGTCCGACAGTTACCAGTACTCAGGATTCGCCACTGTTGCCCCAAAATCACAACTCAGATAGACTTAATAATTTAAACCGAGTTCGCCCTGCTTGGCAACCTTTTAGAATAACCCAAACTGGTATATTAGCGAATGCAACAGCAGCATCAGCGTGCAATTCACTGCCATCTACGACCAACTTTACAGAACCTTCTGAATCGTACCGATCGCAGGAGCCTGGCAATTTGACAACTGCACAACCAACAACTCTGACACTCCCACAGAGAACTCCATTTCCAGAACCAACTCGCCCGATCAGACAAAGTCAAGCACATTTTCTTTCCAGAGAGCCCTTACCCGTGGCAACACTTCAACAGTCCCAGTCTGGTTTTCCTGAGCAAAATGCTTACGTGAGTCGAATAGAATCGACTTATTCACCATATTCAAATACCAACACAACGATGGCTTTAGCTCCTAATACTGAATGGAATGGGAGTGGAGCAACAAATTTTGCTGCTGCCAATCACGCACTGCAGCTACCTTCCATTCATTTGTATCCGGACATGCATGCATCTTTAAATATACGTGGCTTGACGCGATCCATTTCCCCACCAACAATTGCGACGCTCTCATCGTCGCCAGGTACGAGTAATAATGGCAATCCGTATTGTGCACATTTTCTCAATCATACGCATGCTCACGCTCATACAGGGCATGCACATGATCCACTTGCTCATACGCACAATAATTATAGCGGGACAACACATGGCCATAATCACTCGTGTCATCGATCTGGTAATAGTCATGGTGGTCCACCACCTTATTTGGTGCATCACAATCTATGGGTACGGCAACAGAGTGTCCAGGAATTACATCGACGTCATATGACTCCCACACCTATAGACTTGTCATCAAACCCCTTGAATTTAACCAGCAGTTTCCGATCACGTTTCCAGATGCCAAACTTATGTTCATGCGTTCACGCCCGCAACGGTCCAGTTTCCAGCTTGGATCCGGTAAGTTTTTGCTCGAAAAGTAGATTGTAGTTAAAGTTGAACTAATCAAATTTATTGTTATGCCAAAGGCTTACTATCCTCATAATTCGCGGTCTCAGCCTCAGCACAGACGTTCGGCTATACGACGTCCATCCATACATCATCACATGTTCCATCATTATTCTCCAGTGCATGTAGAAATTGATTTGTCAACGCCAAGAATATACATAGGTTCATCTCTTAGACATCCCGGAGGCGCGACACTGGTTTGCATAACTATTATTTCTTTGCGTGCTTTTAAGAAAATGAAATTTCTTGTTACTGCTCCGCAGGAAATGATTGAACGCAACACCTTGCCGCATAAATATCGTCGTGTGCGAAGGCCTAGTGAGACAGATGATGATGCTGAAAAGTGTGCCATTTGTTTGTCGCTATTTGAGATAGGCAATGACGTCAGGTATTGCGTAAAATATGAGGTATATTGATTTTACTCTATGTCCCTATGTAATTTATAGACGCTTACCTTGCATGCATTTGTTCCACACCGACTGCGTAGACCAGTGGTTAGTGACTAATAAACATTGCCCCATATGTCGCGTGGATATAGAAACCCATTTGAATAAAGATGCATTGATTGCCACTACCAGCAGCACTAGTAGTTCCAGCGCCAACACATTATGATCATTATGATATTGCTAAAGTGCCAATATACATATTGCACAGGTTTGCATTTCCAATTCAATTCTTAAAAAGGCTTAAATACGTGGAATCTCTCGTTTCTTATTTTAATGTTAGCATTTTTCTCTTATCTTTGTTTTCTGCATAACCATTAATAGCGTATAAAATTGGAATTCGCGATTCTGTTGTAAAGTTTATTAAACTCTTTAAGTAATTGTTTTATTTTCATAATTGTTTTCGTTGTTATTTAATTCATTGCATTGTGTGCCATATAATTTAATTACATTTTAAATATCTCTTTCGGAAACATCTATTATTTCCTTCACTAAAATGAATTAGTATTCGAATTTTTGTATAATTATTAAGTTGCTACTTAAGCGCTAGAATTTATATTTATATTTGTATAAAATACATAAGCCTAAGTATATATATATATATAAATAAATATGCAAACAAATAATTTGCTGGATATTTGTCTGATCATTTTTGATAATTTATCTTTGTCTCGTATCTCTCAACACATGAATTTTTTTTGTATGTGTAATAGTTTTTTACTAATATTAAATAATCTTCAACACATATACATACATATATATATATATATGTATATGTATATAATAAAATGAATTATCAATATTTAAGTAATAAACGTCTGGATGTGTGACGAATTCATTTGAACAAGATCTTAATGTTACCTTTCGAACACAGTTGGTAAGAATTTGTTATTCTCCTTTCATTCATTAGCCTAAGGAGGTGCAGAAAAACTTAATTAAACGTCGCTGGCGCAGACGTTTTTATGTTGCTCAAGACCGCATATACACATATATTTTATAGAGTTATCGATAATATCACTATCCAAGTATAATTAAGATATCTACGAAATAGACTCTGCTCAAATAATCCAATTAAACTAACTTCTTGTATAATTTTTCACGCATTTTAATGACAATTCCACCAATTTTACAATAGATAGATCATGAATGTATTATTATTATTACGCTTGGACTTTGGCGAAAGTGGCTCAAGGCAAAAGTTTCTTTTGAACTGATCTTTGCATCAAGTCGTCATTCATTAATTTTTATAGCTCGCAATAAGGTTTCTTCAGCACTCTACGCGCATTTATTAGACGGATTATAAAGGCGGATCTTGATTTTTCTTGCATTCAAATTATTTAAAAACAACAACAAAGGCAACAACTGAGAATCTTTGTTCCTTGTTTCAACCTTCCATCTCAATTTTTGTGACCTTGAACGTTTCATCTACAGAGAACAGACAGAGAGACATAAAGAGATAAATTTATTGAAAATTTTAGACCTATTAAGTCTATATGCACGAAAAAGCGGAGTTAGATAAAAATTGAATAAAGATGAAATTTTAATGACCTTTTTCTTAATTTATAGCAATCGGGAGAGTCTACATGAAGTGCTTAAATGTTTATTTGCTTGCAAATCTTTAGAGTAAACTGTACAATGTCCTTGTTTATTCTGTTCTCATCTGAATCTTTTTCAAAGCTGCGTTGGGCTAGCAATTACATACATTACATATGCCTAAACTTTCTGCTTTTATTTATTTATTTTAATCGAATTGTTATTTTCGGCTGTCTATCGAAACCTAATAATCAAATAATACAAAAAAATAGAAATCTAATGGAAAAATAAAAAAAAGTCGTCCTTACCTTCCTAAAGTGCATAAAATAATTTTTAATAATTTTTAACCTGCTTACCACATGATCCTCAAGTGATTGCGACGGTAAGCAGACAATTTGAAGCAAATGAACAAGGTGGAGGAAACGATCAACGTGTCGAAAATGTAGATGAGGAGGTGAAGGTTTAAAAGTTATTCCAAATGAAATGCTTATTTTTTGTTATTTTCTTGTTTTACTAAAAAAACTGAAAATATTTAATTCATAAATTTTAGATGTCGAGTCAATATGACTCGAGAAGGTGGCGAGTCCGAGTCAAATCATTCGGCCGGTAAGTCAGTCAACCAGTCGGTGAGCTGGATTGGTTGTTCATCAAATAGTTTATGGTGCACAGCTAGATTTGAAACATTTAGATCAGTTAGGCTAGCCGTAGCCGTCATAGCCATCTTTGTGTTTATTGAATCGGTTTAACAGCATTTTCATATTTATTCAAAAGCGCCAAAGACATATTAATAGTAATTTACTTTGGGAAAAGCATCTTTTAAAAGCTGGCGAGCTAAATAGGCTAGACAGTATTTCAGGTATTTCAAATATTTCATCCTTAAAGAGCCTTTTGGAAAAAAACTTTTCATAGCTTCAGTGAGTTTACTGGCAGAGAGTATGTGGGATGTGTTCACAGACCTTTTTTCATAATATCCAAAATACGACAATGTAAATCTATGCAAAGTTGTGGACGATACGGGCGATAGGTTTTGAAACGTAAACGAATTCTGTTATATAAATATATTAAAATTACATTATCATATTAGCATCAAATATGTCAAAAAGTTAGGATTCGATTTATATTGATTATTTTTTTTTATTATATTATTTAAATTATTATTTTTTGGGTTTTTGGGTTTGGGACGATTATTATTTAAATTAAGTTTAACATTGAGATTTTATTCATTTTGATTATGAAACGCGTATTCCGAGTTTTCTGCGACTCTTGACTTTCTGTCCTACAGTTCAAGTGACAATTGAAGAGTTTTGAATGTTTTTCGTTACTGTTTCATTGTCTTCTCAAACAATAAATATTGATTTAATTACAAAAAAAGCAAAAGCAAGCGTTTCAATTTTTTACTTTTATTTGTTTTTTTTTTTTTTTGACAAATGAAAAATCAGCTAAACTCGTCTTAAATGGATATGTTATTTTATTTTTTGTTATAAATCTTCAATTCTTTTTGATTAACTTTATGAAAATTTGAAAATTTTGAGTTTGGTTTTACCCACGTCTTATCCACATTTTCCAAATGTCTTTGTGCTCTTTCTATTGCAAACATATAAATTGGCAATCCTCCAATCCATCATCGTAAATTTACAGTGAATACAATTATACGAGAATGGCAAGACCGTAACGCAACAACTAAAAAAAAAAAATGAAAGCAAAAACAAATTCGATAAGCTTGGCTAACCAAATGAAATTATTCTTCCAAATAAAGGATTTATATGAGTAAAAGGATAAATTATTACGAAGCCAAGGAATATATAAAAAAGTATGTAAAATATACCCTTCTCCACAAAACATTACTTCAGGCCCTTTCGGTAAACAAACTTTTTAACAACAACAAAATACATAGGCATTGTGAAATAGGAAGTGAGAAAAAATGTTTTATCTCATTACAATTCAAAGTTCAATAAAGCTAACATTTTGAAGATAAATATGAAAATATAGTAACTATTCGTACGTTTTGCATACATTGAGTCTCTTAATATTGGGTTTTTTCGCCTGACAAAAGCCTATTATGCAGCCAGCATGCAGGTAATGGAGTCAGTCGGATAACAACTCAAGCATAAGATCCTCTCAAATCAAGAATGGCTCTTATACGACTGTTCTAAAGTGCTTGACCTTTCGCTCCCAATCGTCAGGCATGAATCCCATTAAAAATATGTGCGATGAATTAGACTGGCTTGTGCGAAAACATTCAACCTCTTCCGTTGAAGATGTGAAAAACAGACTATAGGAACAACGGAGTAGAATCTGTCAAAACGTTAAAATGACATTATTAAGCAAAAAGGATACCCCATCAAATATTAATTTTTATTAATATGGTATATTTTTCCTTCGTATCCTTTCTTATATGAAAAAAACTCAATATTAATGCCGGTATGTGTGAATAATGCCTTGTGTGTGTTTTTTTCTTCTATATTTTAATATGTATTCCCTACAAGTATAAAACAGAAAAAAAATTTTATATTTGGGCAACGCACTAGTTTAGCAAGCTCTCGTCGAGTGAAAAACCTAATATTAATGAGCTCACTGTTTTTCTTTCTAGTTACAATGACAACTGAGAATGAGTTTCTACGGGCTTATAACCATATAAAACGAGCACAGGACGAAGTTTTTAAAGAGATGGAAAAAGGGATTCAACTCGAAAAGAGGAATCAACTTACGGATGCTAAAAATTCTTTTGAACTGTCTTTGCAACTAATTGACAATATACTTAAAATACCAGTTGGCTTGCCTGATAACATTGATAATGTAGGAGCTGAATGGAACGATGCATGCGATCTAATTCAAAAGTTAATAGTGACCAAATCTGATATATCTGATAGGCTAAACGTTCTTAGAAATCATCAATCTTTTCGAGATACCGAAGCTGTCCAAGCCCAGAAAAATCAAGACAATGAGATGCAGGGGTCACATAAAAAGAAAGGACTTCTGGCAGGAGATCCTGTTACTCAATCTAATCAATCTAATGAAGAGACCAATGAGACATCACGGGAAACTTTTAAACAGATTCTTAAAGATTTGCGCAATATTTTAGCTGATGAAAGCACCGGTGTCTTGTTTGATACTTTTTTCCAAAGCCAAGTAAAATTGTATCACATAGCAACTTCTGGTGCAGTGCAAACACTAGCGGTAGGTTAACGCTAATTTACGTTTTTTTTTGTTCAATAAAGGATGTTAACTTTCCTCAGGGCAAAACGTCTATGTCTTTGGTTATGTGCACGGTTGGTGGACAATATAGTCATCTCAACGGCCTCCATTTCATACAATGTTCATTTGCCCCGCAAACGTCGGCTCGAAGGAATGGAACTGCAGCAGGAGAATTTGCAGCACCTTCGACTTCGCAGGAATATTCCATGGTTTGGACGTATCCTCTATTGCCCAACCTAACAAAATGTCATCGCACAGAATTTGGAGCTTTTATTTTTCCTGATATGGAAAGTGATACCGTAGGGTCGGCGTTTGGCCTTATTTTATGTGCTCCTGATGGTTTCAATGAGGATGAGTTTCATGATCATCAACAATTTTTTTTAGAGCTTTTGGAAGCGACACTCAATGGAACAGTCGAAGAATATACAGAACCCGTGTTCACTTGTCAAGGAGATTTTGACGCTAGTGAAGTAGTATCACGACGTGTTTTAACAGCTGCAAACTTTGTGGCTCGCAACTTGGTAAAAGGGGCAGAGAAGACAGGTGAATTGATGACTAGAACCACGCCATATATTATATCAAAAATGAGTGCAGCTCCTGAAAATGCGCCACATGTATCATCTGGCGTTCAGACAACTGTTCAAGTTGCCAAAGGTGTAACCAATGCCGCGGTAGGTGTTACTTCCTGGGTGGCTGGCAAGGTGGGTTCCGCTTCTATGGCGCTAGGACGTTTCCTTGCGCCTCATATTCAATATCATGGGACGAATTTGTTACAAAGGACGTGCAATCTTGACAATGAACAAGCACAGACGAAAATGGAAGGCGTCCTGACGGTTGCCGCTGGTGCTGTGGAGGGCTTTAGCACCATCGTGGATGGTTTGGAGAAGTCGGCCGCCATTTTAGGCAACAATATTAGCGAAAATTCTGTCAAAATTATCGAACATAAGTATGTATGAGATCGTATAATCGGGGGATTCGTAAATAATCAATTATTTTGAACTCTAAAACAAACTTTGCGGTAGATTCGAGTTTTTACTTCTTAACTTATTGTATTATTAACTACATCATTATCAAGGAGAATATGCCATCGTTCCCGCAAACTTTGAATCCTCCTCTTATAACAATACAGGAGAAGCAAAATACGGTTCACGATATCGGCTTAAAACCATTGCTTGGAACGCTCTACGTTGTCATAAAGAATCTTTTTCATCTCCGATAATCATTCTGTAAGGAAACTAATCTTTACGAAGTCTGGCTAGCAATGAAGTGCAAAGAGACTGACGAATATTCTTGCTGTGCTTCAAATAATTGCCGCGAAACTTGTACGTCTTTCCAATTTCATATAGTTGAGGGTATGGATCTATGGTCTTCTCGGTAATTTCTATGTACTTAACAAATCCAACTCGTCGTCCAATTCAAGGACTTTCAGAGAGATCATAATCATAATCAGTGCTTTCCAACACATCTAATACATCTCCATGACATTTTCTCCGTTGTTACCAATGTTGCTTTACAGAAAACTAGAAAAGAATTTCTATTTTCCTCCACAACGATCGGTACAGAACTGATGGGAGAAAGAAAATTCTTCGAAAATAATTGATCACTTATGATTCCCCGTAGTCTTATGATTCTCGCTAGTCGAAAATCGTGGTTGTGATCTTTGTTTGCAAAAAAATTGCGGGAAATTCTTCAGATATTTATAAATAATATTTCATTTTTCAGATACGGGTCTTCTGCCGGCAATTTGGCGGCTGGCACTTTTGATACACTGGGTAACGCTTTCGTCGTTAGCCGTAATGCTAATTACATGTTGCCTAAGGGCATTGCCAAGAAAATGGTCAAAAATACTGGGAGAGCTGTAGTTGGCGAATACAAGCCTAACATTCAACAAGAATCTCGATATATAGCGGCGGGTAATTTGTACCCTGACTTGAAGTTACTGAAAGAAAATGTAGAGAAGAATAAATAAAATTGGCATTTTATTTATAAAGCCGATAATATTATATAATATCTTTTTCTATAAGTTGTTTTTATATGTGTTGTCTCTTGTAAAAATATCAAAAAAATAAAAAAAAAATAAAAAAATATTATTGACTTTTCATATGAAGAAATCGTCCATTTTGTATTTTATGCTTTAGAATATAAAAGAAAAGTTCGGAAAGATAATTTTTGCTTGCATTTCATTTATGACAAAGAAGTGACAAAGAGCCAAGAAAAGATGTGCAATCATTTTATAAAGCCTCTGAAATAATATCACATCATTCGAAAATTGTTATGCATTTATACTTTGTATGATTATAAAGCAAAAATTAAATTATAAAAAAATAAATTCTTTGCAAAACAAAAAAAATTATTTGCAAAAAACCGCAGAATTTTTAAACTTTAAGAGAAGTTGTTCAATTTTGCTAATCAAGGACTAAAGCTATGGACATTCGCCAACCGATATTGAAATAAAATACAAAATAAAAAGTCTCTTAATTTAATTTGCAATTATGGCGTCCACGCATGCCGATAAAGCAAAATGATCATCATACTTCTCCGAATGCATTCACGAAAGTAATATCTAAGTAATTACTATTTTTCGCCTTCTCTGGGTAGTAAAAGCATTTTTATTTGCCGGCCTGTGATGACATTCGAATTTTGGCTCCATTGCCCTAATAATATGTAAGTAAACTTTGAAATTTGTCTTCTTACACGTACACGTATAATAGGCGGGCAAATTATATTGAAGCATCAGGCGAGCCGAATTGAGTAGCAGGTTGAATGGATTTGGCACGAAGTTTTTTTAGATTGTAGAGCAAACTCTGTGGATTTGTGTCGTATGCTCTGTTTCATTATAGAGACATTGCCTCATTTGAATAAGTTGACGAACGTAAACGCTTTAACCGGGACAAGTTTTCAAATGAAGTTAAGGCAGTTGCGATCTCTCTGAATTAATTTAAGCACGTTCGCCTGCCCTCTTATAAATTGTGCATTTGTCTCTGGTAAACCATCTCCTAGCAGCATAAATAAAAACATCGTCTTCAAATTCGACGAAACCCTTGGAGATTGTTCCATGCAGACAAAGTATTGAAAATGGGCCAAATCGGTCAAGGTTGTTGCCAAAGGTTGTTACCATAAACTGCAACACAAGATGTATTTGTATATTCCATTTTAATACAAAGACAGTGCGCACAGAAGATTCGGCCACAAACGAGTAATATTTCCCTACTGGTCCGTTTTCATTAAACATGTTTGAATGTGATGAAGTTCCAACCATTTAAAAGCAAATCACATTACATATTACAATCTCTAGAATTCCCTAACTTTCTCTACATACGGTCTACGTTTTTAATCCGTATTCTTTACGCATTCTCTACATCATCTGAATAATACATGGAAAATAAGTAGAGAATCTATAACGATTCATGTGCCCTGTGCATTGTCTACATTTTCTCCATCCTTTCTCCATCCACTTCCTGTGGTCAATAGGTTTTCTCTATTCATTAATTTGAAAACGGTTTTCTTATAGAAACTTCAGTTAATTAGCAGATATAGAGAGATGACAGCGAAATCTGCTCATAAACGGCGCTATACATGTCTGACGTTCTTTTTATTCTTTTTTTTGGGCTGCGAACGTGAAACCAACAAACATCGCTACGTAAAAATTCTTTTCGTAACAGTGAAAATGTTGGGTTTTTTGCTAAGTATTCGCTGACAGCCTTTTTCTCTTTGTCAAGAAAGAGTTATGCGCCATGCAGAGTTGAAAAGTGTAGGTAGACGTGCTTCGATGGCGGGCTTGAATCGTTTTGATTGAAAGGCGATATTTTGTGCTTGGAGAGACCAGGAGAGTGCGAGAGTAGCGGTTAAAGTCAGTTGAAAGACATAATAAAAAACGCTACCAACAACAGTTAATCTACTTTAACCTAGCGATATTTAAAAGATGAAGGATAAAACAAAGTAGTTTTTCACATGACATCCGTCAGTCCATCCATACAACACAACCGGTTAGCGATACGTTGAAAGTACTCAACTGCGAAATGCTAGTCGATGCGGATCACTCATCGAGTTTGAGACCTTCCGATTACCATTTGTTTGCATCGATCGTACACGCACTTGCTGAGCAGCGCATTAGCTCTTACGAAAACGTACGAAAATTACTCGATGACTGTTTTCGCCTAAAAAAAGAAAAAGATTTTAGAAGTGGTATCAGAAAATTGTCAGGGGGATGAGAAGACTATGTACGGTAGTCCAATAAAGTCTGCATACAGTGCCGCAAACTAAGCTCTCTTATTAGAAACTGTATTTATGGGTTAGCGGTTAAAAAATATATTTCTTAAGAAACAAAAACTTTTATTAAACAACGCTTCAAAATTTGTTCTTGACTTTAAAATAATGTTACAAGCAAAAAATATACTTTAATTCCATAAAAAAAACACAAAAGGTCCGCAAAGTACAGCACAACCTTGTTTTTGTAATTTAAATAATAATTCATCGTTTAAAGCGAGTTTCCTTATTTGTTTTCCTTCAATTGTCCCACAAGGCAATCTCTCGAAGGGTTAGAAATGTGATTACGAACTTAAGAAGTCTGGAAAAATCATACGGAGAAATCGTAGCAAAAACAATTGGCATTAATCGTACTACGTCTGTAGTATATTAAGAGTTGTAGAGATATTTTGAATTTACTACGTCACATAGATAATAGGCGAAGAAGGCGTGGAATCATTAAAAATGCGTTACAGTGTCTACATATTATTCTGCACATACTTTCGACATATTTTCCAAGCAATCTCTCTATATAGCGTGTCAATAATACGTAGTGAGTAGGGGAGATGTGAAGAGGAACACCAGAGATATGTTGCATTCTTTACGTGTTTCTCTTCGGCTTCTATATATCATGGCGATAACTCGTCCATGCTATACTAAGAGGCTGTAGAGATACAGATAGATTGAATTTTCTACATCACGTAGATAATACGCGTAGAAACAATGAAGATGCGTTACACTCTCTACATATTATTCTTCACCCACTTTCGATATATTTTCCACGCAATCTGTCTATATAGCGTGCCGTCCCTATGGTACGTAGGGAATAGCGGACAATAAATGTGCAAAGTAATTGCAGATTGACTTACATAGAAACTAAAAACGTTATTATTTTAAAATAGATTCTTGAATAGCGGCACATCTGCCCCGGTGAACAGCTAACAAAATATTAGCATTCGTAATTTGGTCAGGACGATAACATAAGGAGCACAATTAACCAATTTTTCCTTTTTTTAAGTTGCAATAGAGCGTAATAACAAACGATCTAAGAATAAGATTTATTATAGAAACATTTGAAATATTGTTAAGAAAAAGATCGCAAAAAAAAAAGAGAAGAATAAAATGCGATTTAGTTATTCCTCAGCACAACAAACAAAACACACAACATCTGTTCACTTAAAGATTAGCAAAATAAACAGATATCAGAAAATATATGAAAGAATAGGATCGCAAGAAACACAAAAAAAAAAAAAAAAAAAAAGTACAAGAAGTACAGCGCATAAGATATCAGAACGAAAATAATGGGTAAGAAGTCCTTTTTGTTTTATTAAGCTAAAGACTAAACTACTAACACAACAACTCGAAAGAGGAACACAAAGGAACAAACTGGTTTGCAGCCGGAGCAGCCGGAGATCAACTAGTAGAAACCACACGGGTTTTCTTATTTTTATTTTGTCTTTTTTTATTCTTGTTGCTGTTGTTTTGTTTGTTGCTCTCCTCAATACAGCAGCAGATGTCGTCGAAATTTTATAAAGTTAAAAAGGATATGCGAACCTATACGCATACATAGGCTTACAAGAGGATTTTGTTAAGGTTAAAAAGGAAAAAGAAAAATAAGAACTACATTGTTTTGTCTTCCAAAAATAATGATGATGATGATGATGATGATGATGAATAAGGTTTTGTAAAGAAGACGGCAACACACCTTGAGTTTAAGACGCGCTTGAGTTTTGACGAGGGATTTTCTTAGATACCGGAACCGACAAAACCGTGAAATAGACGCTACTTTGCTCAAGAGCATAAGGATAAATGCCGAATAATGCTGTTATTTAGTAGCACGTGGTTCACATGTACGTGCGCGAAGAGATAAATGTTCAAAATACAAAAAAAAAGTAAAAAAGCTTTCACAGTTATACACACACACACACACACACACACACACACACATATGTATATATATATATATATATATATACGCATTCAGACAATATTGATGTTAGTTAATTGTGTTAACGACTAAACCAGAGCAGCTGTTGAAACCTCCAGGACCTGTTTCATATGATAGAAATAAAAACAATAAGTTCTGTTTGCACATTTCATTCTTTTTTTTTTTTCTTTTACCATAATTTACTTTGCAGAATGTTTTGCTTTCTTATTTACTTTTATGCCAAATTACAAAAATTTCCTTCCATTCTTAATGGTCTGTTCGTTTTATCAATTAAGTGAATTTAAATTCGTCACAACTGGGAATTCGATGTCATTACGTCCATTTGCTTGTAAAGAATCAAAATTTTTCAATTCATGTATTCCCATTAAATTTTAAACACAGAAAAAGAAGAGTCAGTCAATAGTGTTCATCTTACTTTTTAGTCCTAGAATTTATTCTTTTGGTCCAAAAAAAAAAAAAATTATAATAATAATAGAATTCAAAAAACAAAAGCAAGTGAAGGCTTTGTACCCTACACAACTTCGCTTAGTGCAGTCATTCATATAACGACTTTTCAAACTAAGGCGTTTGATGCAAAGTGGTCCAAATTTAATCAGAATGCACGAAAATTCGCAACCTAGATGGCGACTACGAAATTTTATGAAGTGACATAAGACGGACCGATAGCAATAAATACAATACGAGGTGCCTCTATCTGAAGTACTTCTGAGTGTTGTATATGTTCGCAAAAACTGAAAATACATTGTTCCACAGCTGGCTTAAAATACGAAAAATTAGAGGCAAGACAAAGTTATGTGTTGAGA